TTTGTTCCTGTCATTCATGAGGTTCATAGTACGAGTTTCGCTCAGTCGAATAAATATCTAGTTTTTCGCAACAGAAATTCAAGAAAGAACTAGTATTAAAGTAGTATAAAGCTGACGCATAGCTGAATAGTGGTCCAAATCCCAGTTGCTAACAAGGTAAGTGATAAATAGTGAACTAGTTAGTGTATCAAAACAAACTAGTGAACAACTGGTACCCCCTACAGCAGTGTGCCTACACTCTTTATAAATACAAGCACGTTCGTCGTCATGCCGCTAAGGGATTTATACGCTTTAAATTTAATTCCGTGCCAGGCGAAGCGTATGATACTAATAAGTGATAGCGGTAAAGTTGGCCAACAGAGAGCAAACCTTAGCAATGTCAATGGTGAGGGCAACAGGGAAAGGGCAGGCATGGGCAACTAAGGTAAAAAGTTATTCGTGACGGCAACACAATGGCGGAGTGCGTTGTTAAACAAACGAAATGAACTTTGTGTAGAAAACTACGAGAATAGCTAAGCGAACAAAGTAGCAGCGCCGCATAGCAGAGGAAGACGGAACAGGAATCGGAAGTAGCAAAGTAACAGTAGTAATAGCGACAGCAAGTGCCAAGTGGCAAGCAACAAAAGGCAGCAGCCGTTCGAACAAGTGCAGCAGCAGTAGCGACAACGACGTCGACGATGGCATCGGGATGTTACAAGTGTACCTCGTCTGCGGCAAGTGCGTAAATTGCTTACGTACAAACACTGCTAAGGCATCTTTGCAACAATTTAAACTTACTGCCGGTTTAGCTAACTACTGCCGTTGCGAGTTGGTTCTGTGTGTGCCACACAGCAAACGAATTAATATGAATTTTAATATTTATTATTTAATGAAACGTTTACTTTGGCTTCTTCCGCTAACTGAGATTTTCGACAATGACTGTCGAATGCTGTGCCTGTTAGCTAACACTTATTTGGGGCACGGCAATCGGTGGTGGAACGTGCCACGTACGAATTACCACAATGTTGCACGTTAGTTGGCTACCGTGCTAGCTTGGCATTGCGGCTGGGGAATTGTATTGAGGTTTTAACCACCGCAATTGCCGCTAATACCAACATCGCTGCCTCGTCCTTCCGGCCGGTCGCTCGTTTACCCACAGCTTTACTATTGTGTCTCTAGGGATGCGCTATCATGTCATGATTTTTATCTACTCTAATGGCATTGTTTATGTGTCTGTCGGCGAATGTGGGATGGTGAGTAGAAAGGATAGCCAGCCAAACGCATGCCGCACTTGGTGAATGAAATGTAATGGTGTGGGGTTGGTTGTTGGTTGTTGTTGGTTGCTAAATGTTTGAATAATTAATTTCAAACTTTTGTGTGTTGCAACTACACAAAGCAGACACAGCAATATATGTAGGCACTTTTGGCAGCAAAGTATTTCACCATGACTACCAAACAGCACTTGATTATTCGTTTGAATATCTCGAAACCCCTTCGCCTTCTGCTTCGTCTTCTTCTTCACATTTTTTTTTGCTCACACCACTTTTCACGGTGCATTTACGTTTGTTTTATGAATCGCTTTTCGGTGAAATGTTTTCGTTAAAATCTCAAATGAACTTTCAAAGCATTAAATCGGCAATTTGTCCCTCTAAGGGGGTGACGTGTGTGATTATTTCATGGTGGGCTTTGTTCGTTTATTATAATGCCTACAAAATAATTACAAATGGAATGTTTGAAATGTTAAATTCATACAATTGTGACAAACAACACACATACACGTTTACATTAAAATATATTTATGCAACACACAACCATTTTTCAGCATCAACCTTACGCTTTAAAATCTATTGTAAAGTATTTAAGGATTAATTGTGGCAAGTTTACACGTGCATGAATGCGGGTTGCAAGCACCATCAGTTAAACCATTCTGTTTGTCCACTTTTCATATGAATATCTATTTGCGTCCAAAAACCCATTTAATGCTTTAACTGACCCTTTTCTTCGCTTTTGGACTAATGGCTTTGGTAACTGAGCGGATTTTCATTGTTGCCACACACAATGGCATGTGTATGTCAGTGATTGTCAGAGATTCTCTGTCAATAAATTATATTAAATGTAGCATTTTGAATGCAATTAATTAATTTACAGAGTTCGCTTCCACATTCTCTATACGTAGGCGCCCTGCAAATTCAAAGGATTTGTTGTAAAATCGTTTTGGCATTAAGCATTTGGTGAAATACATTAAATAGTTTCTTGAAGTTATAATTGAAAAGGGTTTCAGGTCGTATTACCATTTTGTATGTAATTCTTTGAAGTAATAATAAATTTAACTCGTACTACTTCACCCTAAATGTAGGCAATGTCATAATTATGAAGCCAAGCAAAGTTAAAGGCAAATACAAAGACATTGAATACAATAAGGTGAAAGTGTTTTGCGTTAATTAGGGATTTGTAATTCTACAAAGCAAAAGGCTATATTATGAGCTTCAGACTTTTAAGCACGAAAACTTTCGGACATAATTTAAAAAATATTTTAAGAATTTTTCTATATGCAGTTGCCATAAGGAAAGGCCACTGAATATGCAATATTCCGAAGCTCATATCTGTTTAGTGCGCGTCGATTGTGTAATTTCTCGAACTTCTGTAACTTTGTAATTTAGGGACTCCTAGTCTTCTGTATACCGTCGTATAGGTCAATGCTACAACAGTATTACAATTGACTTGGATATATCCACTTTTTCTTAAAGTCTAATAATTTAATTCGAGGAAGTTTGACGCAACTTGGTGCATTACGACTCACTGCAACTTCACTCGTCCTGCACGTAAATAAATTCCTTAGGTACCAAATTACATATGACGAGATATTTATCGGAAGGATCACTGTGGTACCCAGCTCGTTTGTCTTACTGTTTCTCTTAATATTTCTATGTCCAGGGTGTCAAACAAGGGATTATATTTTCCTTCAAACAAGTTCCTGAAGATATCTGCCACATTTAGTTTTAACTCAAATAATAATTTTTTAGTCTTTGGTCCCATATTTTTTCACCAAAACTTCAGTCTCCCTTTCCTTTCTATTCCTTGCGCGAGGTTTGTTTAAAGAGGACTATATTTGGATACGGAAGTCGGAGGAAAGCTTTATAACATTCTTTCTCGAACCAGCGGTCGGACTAAAAGTTTTAAACTGGCTTTCCCTCTTGCTTGGTAGAAGCCGTAAATTACTCAGACTAAGATGCTTTCGTCATACAAGGGCTAAACCTCATCAATGTACAACTTTGAAGGACTGTATCAGATATACACTAACATACGAGAGATTTTAGGTAGGCTGCACCAAATATCAGCCAAGTACCAAAAGCAAACAACAAGCCTCTGCAAGCCTCTTCATTCTAATTCAAAGCACTTAAACTGGTTTCTTATTTCCCTCAAAACTTATCAAAATTTTCTAAATCGTAACTAGAGAAACATGCAACGCGTCTTACCACAAAATTTACAACAACAAATATTAAGTGCTTAAGACATTTCAGTTTTCAATTATAAAGCTTCTAAGTCCACTTAATTTCCATTTACAAAATGAAATCACACACTTTACGAATCGTATTGCAACAACAAGAGACGCCAAAAGACAAGAAATTTATTATGTTCTGTCTGTATGTATTTGTGTTACACACTATAAATACGCCGACAATGTCAACTCTCGACCTCTTTCTTCGCTCTCTAAAATCCAAACTTTTAATTAATTTATTAAAGTGGCCGCCAGCAAACAGGTAAGCGACAGACGTGTACAGCTGGAGAGTACAACTCTTGTGACGTTGAATAGACAAGCTCAAACATGCAAACGACAACAACAACAAATCCGACAACGTAATAGCGTCAAATCAATTAAAGCGGTATAATAGAGGAAAACAAGCGAAGGCTAAATAGTCAGCGAGAGATGGTGGAGTAGCGCAGGTAAGCCAGCCACCAGCACGTAAATCTAAGCAAAGTCATTAAGTGAGCAAGTCGAGGAATAATATTAGTGGCACAAATAGCATTGTTGGAAATGTAGTTGTATGAAGGCTTCAGTTAAACTACCATACTGCCTTCATTAGCTGCGGCGCTGTGCGTAGCTTTACTCCTTAGAAATTACATTTCGTTATCCTTTCATCACAATGAAGCTCCAACTTTGTAGGCCCAACTCACGCCTTCAACGCAAATCTATGTAGATTGTCGGGTTGGATAAGATTGGCTCTCCTTCGTCTTGTCTTTTTTGCATCAGTTTTATTTTTTCTTACCAGCTCATAGCGAAACGAGCTCTCCGGTTTTCGAAAGTCTTTGAAACGACGGCAGCCAGCTGAGAAAGAGCAAATACAATGCAGATTTTGTGTGTGGACCGCTGCCGCCGTGTATTGTACTAACTAATAGCATCAACTCATTACTGTTGTTGTTGTTTTCTTCAGCTAAAATTCTTTGCAGTTTGCATGTTTGTTGTTGTTGTTTTTGTTGTTGGCATTTCGCTTGTTTATTGTTTTTGGGCGTAACTTTACAGACAAGAAATAATATTCATCATTTAATTAAGTCAAAGTTGGAAGCCAAACGAGTCGACCAACAACAACAACAACAACAATAGCAACAACGATAGCAAATTTTGTGAGTTTACAAAACAGTAAAATATACCCCCACACAAACGCACACACACACACATGCATATACACATAGCAGCTCAGTAGCACAGGTAGCACAGGCAGCTTGTCTATTTTTGTTAATCAAATTAAAATTGATTAGAATAATTTGGCGTATTTTGCCTTTTGATGAGTTGATCATAATAATTGAATTTGATAAATTGTTTTTGTTTTGCGTCTGGTTCAAGGTGTGCATTAAAACGGTTTTTTGGTGATTAATAAAGGATAAAAGTTCATTTTTAGTGCAATTAAAGTGAGTTTTGGGCCATTAAATGTGATTTATGTAAAGTCATTTATATACACATAATTATACATAATTATTATGCGCGCTGCCTTCTGGGTGTTTGAGAAAAAATTTAAACTTACCCAAACCCGTCATTGGACCGAAAACGGTATTGTCCTCCGTGGTGCTGCAATTCCAACGGCGATTTTTAAATTGAAATTGGCACTCCTGAAAATGAAAGGGAAATATGATTTATAAATTTTTGTTTGCTTTGAAAGAAAGTTTACTTTTCTACATACTTCTAAACGCAAATGGAACTAATTAAATCAACGTGCCTACATTTGGGCGCATTGCTATTAGAAAGGATATTGTTTTTTGGAGTCTCCCCACTTAGTAAGTATTTAAATTATAATATTGAAAAAAGTAACTCCACACATACTTGCTTAAATTGCAGTACAAATGAATAGAGCTCAAATTCTTCGGATTCCAGTAAACACTCATAGCAGACAAAGAACTCAAACCTCCACGCAAGATCCGAGCAATACCGATACAACTAATATCTGCATACTATAATAGACTCAACTCTTACTTATTCAATTTCCACCTTAACCGACCCAATACCTGCTCTGCTGGTACTGAGTCTCCGCATGTAATTATTATATGCGCCCACTTAAAACTATTTGTCGAAACCATTTTCCATTAAGTCCGAACCTGTCGAAACATTTACTTACAATCCAAAATTTTTGGTAACTGGGGGAATCCTCAGTGCCAAGTTCTACTCCGTAATTGATTCTGAATTTTTTTTTCCAAAAACAATGTTGTTGGAATGGATATTGGACAAACAACAAATGCTATTGAAGAACACTAACTTCGAAACAGTAGATCTGCAATCATACCGACCTTCACTTGACCCACTTTTGCAAAAAAAAAAAAAAGAAAAAAAAAATAAAGGCTCATTCTTGGTTTCAGAGATTCTTCACGGTAAGATCTGATTTGCTGAGCCACAAATGGCAGAGATTTTATGAAAAATACCCCAAAGACATTATTGAGAGTATGAACTGACTCTAGATCCAGATTCTGCACATTTATTCCTTCCCGATCAGGACTCTGACGGAATATTTGTGTACTCGAGCAAGGCATATAGTTATAAATTCGGTTATAATCGCGAAGGCGGTGTCTACGCCAATAAAGTAGAAGAAGTATATAAATAAGAACAATGGCGTATTGACGTATTTGTATTAGCAATCCCGAGTTCTTATGAAATTGTTCTGAAATGAGCTCTAACGGTACTTGGATTAACCAACAATAGCCGGATTGAGGAAACTGTGATATAGTAGTAAAATTATTTTTTGCTTTTTCAAAGTCTTTGCTTATATTTTATTATTATTTATTTTTGCTATAAATTAAAGTTAATCATTCTGGCGGACTCATTCTACTCCGTTTTGCTGTAGATGATTAAGTGTACCTTAGTATAACATGCAAATTACTTCCCTCTACTGCATGTTCTGCTACCTTAAAATACGAGAGGCACCTTCCACACTTGGACGCAGACATGTACTCGTAAGCCTGTCATCGCTGACTAATTCCTCCGAACTTTTACCCAACCCAAAATTTTTTACGAAAAAATCCCATAAATCTCCGCTCAGCAAGTAGAAAATGCAAATTTTCCACACACACGCTTTTTTGCCTAGATTAAAACAATTTCCTTGAATCAGCAAAAATTGATTTCAGAGAGGAAATTTAGAGAAGAAAAAAATTAACAAATTTATGACAAGTGCCTTAAAGGACCTCACGCCGCCGTTTGTATGCAAAGAATGTGCATGCAAGTAAATATGCAAAGTCAAAGGGAAACACAAGAATGTCAGGTCAGCAAAAGACGCCAATATACTTTTGACATACACACACACACACACACAGGCATGGCGACATAGCGATTGTCTGCACTTAATGTACTCAAATTTTAAATGCAAATATTGAATATGAGTTAGTGCCACCCACAGTAAGGGGCAAGCGTTGGTTAAGCCATTTGGTTTGATATGTGAAGACACATACGGGTTTATTTCATGTATAAAGAAGTGCATGTGTGTGTTTGTGTGTGTAGTAGAGTTTTTCTAAAGCCATGCAAAAACTTTTGAATGCCCCTAAAAGACACAAGCAAGTGGGCAGCAAAAGAGAACTTATTCACTTAAGTGCAGAAGTGTAGCAAATCGCCAGACAAAGGCTCAGTCTGCGACATGTGCGAACGTGTGATTGTGCCAACGGAAATGTTAGTACAATGTAGTACATAATTTCGACCGAGTGGAGATGTCAGCTTGTTTAACAAATGCACAATCTGTGTGTGTACATATGTATGATTTTTTATTATTAATTGAATACTAAGCATATATGTATGTATACTCTTTTACTAGCAGTTTGTGCAAATATTTGCAAGTACCTTACGCAGGTTGCTTGTTTGTACAATTTGCCACGAAATAAAGTGAAATAAATATTCGCACTTAAACACTTGATAAGCTTTTTTGTTGCAGCATTTCAACACTTGTGATAAGTATGTATAGTTTGCTTGCAACATTAGTGAACAGTAGGCCTGCATCGTTTGCAAAATGCCATACAAGGCACGAATTGTATCCGATTTTATGAAAGTACTCACGGTGCATCGAAACCACCATGATCACTTAAGCAAGTTGTGTTTGAGCGCATGTCAAAGATAGACACAGGCGAAGGGAGAAAGAAAGAATACGCTATGCTCTCTAAATTATTTTCGATATAGGCGAAAATCCAAGTGAGACAGCTGAAAGTGTGAATAGTGCTCATGGTCTTAATACTGTAATAGTCAATTATGCAGAATTTCCATTCCTTGATTTCGTTTCAGTAATTTTAATGTAAAAGATGATCCACTGAGTGGAAAACCATTTGTCTAAAATGTCGATAAAATAAGGGAAGTCATCGAATCCGACCGTGATGCGACCACTGTTTCGATTGCTCAAAAGCTAAGCATTACCCAAAAAAAAAACAGTTTTGAAAGACTTGAAAAAGGCTGGAAAAAAATAAGCTTCATGAGTTAAAGAGAAACTGAACTGAATATCCATCTGCGAATCGATGCAGTATCACAACAAAATATAACCGTTTGTGTAGCGGATGTTGAGTGGTGATGAAATGTAAAACATTTTAAGCAGATTCTAATGAAAACGGTCGTTGATGAAAGGCAGTGAGTCGGCACCAAAGGTCTCCAAGCCAGATTCGACTGCCAGGTAGGTTTTGTTATGTGTTTTTTGAGATGGTAAGGGAATTATCCACAATAAGCTGCTTACCAACGGCCAAACTTTTATTTCGTACCGGTACTGTCGGTAATTGGGCCGTTCTAAGAAAACAATCGCTTAGATACGTCCAGTTTTGGCCAAAAGGTGGAGAATTGTGTTTCATCAGATAAATGCCAGACCACATAAATGACTCTCGGATCTTGCACCAAGAGATTACCTTCTGCTTCTGTATATTTCGAGTAATTTGGCCAAATTGAAGCCTGTAAAAATCGATTGTCGCAATTTTTTCTGCCAATAGGGACAAGCGTTCCTATGTGGGAGGCAAGTTTTGAATATACGAAGTGTGTTCAAAAGGTATCGCGAATTTTGAATTTTCGCGGGTTACGTATAATCGATTGTCCCAAATTTTTTATTTTGCAATAGAGACAATAGCTCCTATGTGAGACGCAAATTTTAAATATTTTATATAAACTAAAAAAGTTAAATATATACTTGAAAAATTTTAAAAATAATCATTGTAGAGGACCTACTGCCATATAGTTGAGAGTTTTTTTTGTTTTTTTGGGATTTTTCGAGATGTGCAAAATTACAAATTTCCTTTAATTCTTATTGGGTGCGAAACTGTTTTTTTTTTTGCAGTATACGCCAACAGCTGTTACAAGTGCAAATTAATTTTATGCATTTTTTTGTTGCATGCGTTGGTTGCCACACATCACAAACACTTGAAGTGGACACTTGAGTGTATTCAAATGAGTGGCTGCTCGCGCCTTTTTAAGGGTTGCACAACAACACAACAATGAAAGCTTTATTTAAGGCTTCAAAAATTGTTGCACGCCTAACGGTAAGTGGTCGAGGTTTGAGTGTAAAGTAATCGCATTTTGAAAATGCATAAAGAGACAAAAGAAGCAGCAGCAATAGCCATTACCGAAAACAAAAAACTCTGTTGCCAAAGGCAGTTGCAGTGGAAAATGAAAGAAAAAATTCGTAAACTGAAACAAAGAAAAAATAATAATGCAAATGAAAGACATTGAGTGGTGACAGAATTGCCTGAAGTGTGGTGTTGAAGCGTTTTCTACAAATAAGTATGTCAATGTGTTTGTAAGGCAACACTTGTATGTTGGTAACAACAGTCCGTACGCGGCTTAATTAATGTGCCCGTCTTACGTAAATGAAAGCGTTGTCTATCGATGTGGCACAAAGTGCAATAATGCAGCACGTGCAATTTTACACAAAAAGGGCTTCCTTTTGGCATTTCAAAAAAAAAAAAAACACATTCAAAAATATAATTAAGAAAAAAATAAATATAATAAATTAAATTAAATAGCGAAAATAACAAAACAGTTTAAAACAAAAAAATATAATTAAAAGAATATAAACTAAATTAACTAATATTAAGTACAATAATATAAAGTAATCTAATATAAAATAAAACAAATATAATAAACTTATTTGAAATAAAAAATAACACAAAATAAAATAAAATTAACTGAAATAAAAAAAATAATATCATATTATTAAATACAATAAAATATAACAAAATTAATCAAATTAAACTAACATAAACTAAAAAAAGGAAAAAAAAACTAAAAAAAATAAAAAAATAAAATTAAAATAAATAAAGTAAAATAATATTATAAAATAATATGTGAGAAAGTAAAATAAATTTAATTAAATAAAAAAAGAATATACTAAATTTAACAAAATCATATTAAATAAAAAAAATAAAAATTAGTATTTTATAAAATTCAATAGTAATTTTATAAAATTAAATTAAATAAAGTTAATAAAATAAAATAAAAAATAAAATAGTTAAAATGAAATATATAAAAAAATTAAAATGTATAAATGTGAAAAAATATAATAAGAGTAAAATTATATACAATTATTGAAAAAAAAAAAATTAAATAAAATAAGGTAAAATGATATCATAAAATAAAATGAGATAACGTAAAATTCAGTTAAAATAAATCA